CCTGTGAGTGCCTTAAGAAGGGTCCTTGGTGATTCAAAAGCCTTTTTCATCCAGGAATCAACTCCCTTCAACCCGTAACAAAGATTTTCCACACACTGGGAGCCAAGTCAAAAGTGCTGAGATGTACTGGTGGGGTTTGAATGTTTTCTGACCCATCTCCTCACAGTGTGCATGCCTGGCCCATACCTTGGCACTTCTTTCCATATAGGTGAGCACTTTTTAAACCAGTTTATCGGTTTTCCTTCCCTCATGGCAACATGGCAACATGGCCTAGTGTTTGTATTCGATTGCTGGCCTAGAAAATTAATGGCCAGTTACGATACTGCTGGGTTAAAACTGTGGCCTCAGATTGTCATCAGAAACATTGACACTCATTTTCATGGAGACCAAGTCTTTGCCATTGCCTGAAAGGGTGTTATAATGCTTTGAGCTTGGTCAAAGCAAGCCAGCTTCCAGCTACTCAAGCCAGGCTGAATTTGTTCCAGCCTGAGGAAGTAAGTGTCCCTCTCTGTTCTTCTTTGGGAGCTGAGCCTGAATCAGAGCAATGTTTTCCAAGCAAGAGAAACTCCCAAATAAGGTGGATAGATTGAGAAAATAGTAAACCTCCTTAGAAAAATAGGAGAGAAACATATTTAGGGAAAGAAATCACTGCTTAGTGATCTGCACATGGTTAAATTATTGTAAGGGACCAGGAGATGAACCTTTACTTTTATCATAACTCCATTTAGCTTTATGAGGGCCAGTCTGAAGTAATTTAGTTGCGATCACCACACATATTCTTCTTCAGAAAAAAAAAGAAAGCAGTAAGTCTACAAAGATTCACTGTTATTCATGTTCCAATTTTGGATGGACAGCATAATATGGTGCTTAAGACGAGTTGTCCTGGCCAGCTTGAATTGGAGAAAGGTGCTGAAAAAGAGGCTACTGAAAGGGTAACATTTTCTCTCTTGCCAGTACTGCCACTTACTACTGTGATAAAGCAAGGAGTGCTATAAGGGAAATATAAAGGCTGTGAGCCGGCATAAAGTAAGCAGGGGAAAAATAACCCAAGCATTAGGTCTGAGGGAAAGTGTGGCCAACATCCTCTGTGTCTCAGTTGTGCTGGATTAATTTACCCTAGTGTTTTATTGCATGGTGTTTTAAAATTAGAAATTATATTGCAAATGCAGGCAGTAAGCTGTTCAGATCCAGCTATAGAGTTTGCTTCATTCTGGGGCATTCATTAAGACGTAGGCCTTCAGTAGCGATTCTTAGATATTTACTTCTGATTCATTCACCTCATCATATGTTGTATCATACAGAGTTATTTACACTTTTGGGAAGAGTGAGCTCTGGCTGTAAAACATGTCACATCAGATTGGTGAGGTGTTGCATGAATTCTCTTCTTTCATGGGCTGAAGAAACCTCAGAAATCAAAACCATGAGTATATGCATTATTTCTGTATGAATTATATCCCCTGTAAATGTGATGGCATGTGTACAAAGCTTTGATTACTCATCCCACCTTGATCTGGGAAACTTCTGATCCCCACAGGAAAAAGGGAAGGGTCTGAAGTCTACCAGCACTGACATTTCATAGAGTGAATGAACCTGAAAGAGAAGTGCAAGTCCTTACTTCTGATACAGTAAAAGGCTGGCAAGTTCCTACAGATTTTTACTCCCAGATGACATCAGTTTCTCTCTGGCAACTTGCAGCTTGTCTAGCACTGCAAGGTAAATATAACCATGCCATGGAGTGCTAGGTCTGTGCCATCACCTCTGAGAGCGTCTTCCCATCTTCCTGTTCTTAATGCGGGAAATCAGCAAACTACAGAGCAGATGATGCATGAACCTGCAAGGGCAGACCAGCAGTGTGTACTGGCATATCTCCCATACAAGGGAGACAGAAGGTATGCTGATTTCTACCCTTTGAGAGTCTAGCCCAAGGTAATGGCATGTTCCCTTTTGACTTCAGTAGGAGCAGACTCTGGTGTCAGAGCAAGGCTTCCTTCCACTAGAGGAAAAACACAGCTGAAGCATGAAGTTGAAGGGAGAGAAGCATCAAAAGCTGCCTCAACAGCAGTGGTTAGACTTAAACACTGTGCACACCTTTAATGTTCTTAAGAGCCAGGTTTCAGATGTGTAAGTGCATTTTTTTGTCTGATGCCAAGAAAACAGATGTGAGAGTTGTTTCCTAATAGCCATAGGCAGCATCACATGACTAATTCAGCATCTCCCAAAACTGAGTGCCTGCCTAGGCGTGTGATGGAAAGGTGGGAAGAAATAATCTCAGTATGTACATTCCTTGTGGTAAGGCAAATTTAGCTCATAGAAGCCCATGACTAACAAATACCAAGCGCTCAAGATTTCAAATTATAAAATTACAGCACCTTGAGACTTGATAAGCTTTTACAAAGCTTGTAAAGTTTGATGAAAAGGGAGCGTTACAGGGCTCAGGCAGAAAAATTCATGACGATCAATAGGTGTGTACCTTATATGTTCTTTTTCGGGGTTCAGGCATAGCGAAATCTTTCTTAAAGAGTAAGTACATTCTGTCATTCTAGCTGGTCTAAGTAGTAATGCTGAAAATAAGAAACCAGCCTCTTTCTGCAGGTTATTGTCTGTTTTGTAATTGTCCTGAAGCTGATATGAGAGAATCTGATGGTATCACTGCTGGATCTGTGAGGGGGAGATCACACTCAGAACAAACTATCTCATAGACCATTAAAATAATTTTTGACTTTTTCATTGTAAGAAAATACCTTAACACTAAGGAGGATGTTCTGCTGGAACTAGAACATCCTCCTCTGATACCCTTGCAATTTGTCACCCCCTAATTACCCAGTGAGGTACATCCTTCAGGGATGATCCTGCTGCCTCATCGGTTTTCTGCGGTGCCTGTATAGCTCTGCTGTTGGCTGCCTTCTTGTTTCTTCCCACCTTTTATCTCTGAGTAGTCCTGGCCAGGAACATAAACTTAGCCCTGTCAACTCTGCAATGTTTCCTCAGCTGTATTTGTGCTGCAGAATTATCTCCTTCAGTACAAGCTATAATTTGGGCTACATCTCCTTAAAACTCCTTTTTTCCATGATGTCCTGCAAAGACATGACAGCCATTAAGCTGCCAGGGGGCCACAACCAGTGTATGTAATGTTGACAACATTGTCGCCTTGTTTCTCTGTACCCAGCACCTATTTCAATGTCTCTTGCTTTTATATTTGCTTGATGGTTTTCTGGGATGACGATTGTCTGTGCTCTAGTCTTAGTCCCAAAACAAGAGTCACCAAATGGCTCTTGGTTTGGGATTGCAGCTACCTAGTATTACAGTAACAGGAATAACAAGTAACCATAGAGTAATATTAACTATGCAGTTGAAGTGCGTGAATCTAATTTGTATGTCACACTCACACTAAGAAAGTTTGCTGATCTGTATTTGTGTAAAAAACAAGGAATTTTTCATTGAAACTCATTCCTGAAAAGCCTAGTCTTGAATTATCCTCACAGGCATATGGGCAAAAATATCTCACCTTAATGCAAGAATAAAATGAAATGCTTTTGCTTCGCCTTTTTTTCACTGTGCAATAAAGATGAGATGTATATATCCACAAATCAAAAATACACCTGATGTGACCTCGCAGATCATGTTGGTCTCATAAAGAAAACCCCACATACAAATAGCTGGTATTGCAGCAGTTTCAGTGTTTTCACTGAGAATAGACTACAAATTAAGTTCCCTTTAATAGAGTCTTTTAGTCAGTTACCTATTGAACTGCCTGTAGTGTAGAGCTGTGCTGTCTTTTTTTATTTATTTACCTTTTAGTTATATCAGTTAAGCTACATAAGTCCCATTCGAAAGGCAAATGAAACAGGCTAAGAAATCCCACCCGTATGGCCTTTTAGGCAAAAATAGTCTATGGCCTTTTAGACAAAAATGCAGGTTATGTGCCAGGACTGCTGCAGCAGTTTAGGGTGCTCTTTTGTACAGTTGGTGGATCCAGACAGGTACAGAGAGATTTTTGCCCTGGGAATTGCTGTACTTGTCACTGCCTAAGTAACCTGCACAGGCACGCAAGATGGATCAGGTCTGCACCAAGCCAGAAGTGATGGCGTGGACTCTGTCATCACCTATAGATGGTGAAGGGCTTGAGGACTGTGCTTTTACTAAAGCTGGGGTATGTGGCCTTTTGTGTTGACTGCAGGACTGGAGAAAATGAAAAATTGGCAACCTCAAGGCAAAAAGAAGCAAACTAAAAAATACCGCTGGGAGGGACAGAGGGGAAGCTAAGGACCATGGTAGCATGGGCTTGCTCACCATGCAAACTTGACTTAGGGTATCATTCTAAGCTGGAGAAGTCAGTCTCCAGTAGAGCGCCAGGAATCTCTGAGGAGAGGACATCTGGGTTGGGAGGTTTTATGCATGAGGGCTATGTTATTTTTTCTAATAACATCTGATCTCTTATGCCTTTTTTTTTTTGTAAGGAAACACAAAATGGTCTCTTCAAAGGCCGTTTTTATCCACATGTCTGCTTGCTCCTGTCTGTCCAAGACCTCACAAAGGTAGTTTGTAGGGCAGAAGATTCAGCCTTTTGGGTGAAGATGCACATACACTCAAGAGATAGGACTGCACCTGGGAAACATAGAATAGGAAACACTAGGCAGATGTGCACTGTGGTCATGCACTAGGGGCCCCAGGGTTAAAAGGCATGTGCCTTGACATGGGCTAGACCCTAGATGTCTGCAGACTCCCTAGGAAACAGGGATTAGCTAGGTGCTGAGCATTAAGGGCATTAGGACAGATGCCATCACAGCTGCATCATTCCTCAAAGCTGAGTCATTATCAGTTTCATTTATAAAAGTGGCTACTTCAAGACCATGCACAGCTTTACCCTATTTAAATAAACAAACTGGCATTTGAAAGCAATTGTAGCTGCCTGCATTCATACCCTGCTACACCATTGCATACCCAGCAGTAGATGAATGAGCACAAGTCAAGTAGTCACTTCTGAAGGATCAGCTGTCATCAGTTAGTGGTATCTAACAAGAAAGGGGAAACTGAAAAGCAAAGCTTGTCAAAGGAGAGAGGTGAATGTGGTGGTCACTTCCTCCATGGCCATCCTTTCCTGTACTTCCTCCTGGGACCATCTCCTCAGAGATGCCAAGTCAGTGTGGAAGCTCTGTGAAGGACTATAAGGTGGTCTTGATGTGCCTCCTAGCTCACAGACCTCCATACTCTCCTCAGAGCCCTGACAAGGGAGCCAGCTCTTCTGCAAAACAGCCAAACAAGTTGGTTAGTTTAGCTCGTTCTCTCTTAAAACCCTTTTAAAATATGTTAGTAGGTGATAAAACAGTAACTCACACAAATTTATTGTAACCCTTATGGTCTAAAGGCATAAGAAGGGCTTAGAAGAGATAATACAGTAGGGCTGCCTTTTAGGAGACTTTCAAGTGAATAATAATTTTGATCAAACAGAGATCACATCCCACTGGGTTTTATCAGGTCTGTTTTAATCCTGAAAAATAATAAATCTGTAGAGAAGCCTGAAAGTGTAACCACTGGAGTTTGTTGTATTATCATCCAGAAGTACGTTGTTTTTAAAGGAGACGGCTTTGTTTTGTTTCAAAACTCAGAGGGTTCTTTTGAAAGTACTGTAGTGGCTTTGTTTAAGTTACAGACTTTTTTCGTGCAGCGTGTTTCATCATTTCTGCTCTTATGCATAATTTTTCAAATCTTCGCTCATCAAATTACCACAGCATTAAGGGTCCTGAAGAAATTAGAGTAATCACTCATTGTAATGAAATGTTGAATATTTTATTAGACACTGCATGCACTATGCAGCATGGAGATATCATATGAAACCTACCATATCTTTATATATATCTCTCATACACCTGATTGAATCAGTTGGGACAAAGATTCACAACTTTTGTATTGTGGAGACAATGTATTGTATTGTGTCAGGGAGGTTTTGTCATCCAAATTGACAGCTGCCAAGAATAGCATCGGTTATGTCCAAGCATGAGGGGATGGGCACAACAACAAGTCATGTTGTATTGGCAATGTCCAGCTCTTCTCACCAAGATGAAGATAATAAAAAGGAACGGAGGAAAGTCCCACAAAACCACGGACCTTTGCAGTGCAGCCTGGTGCAGCCAGCAGTCCTTAGTTGAAACTCAGAACGGCTCTAAAGGGAGCTTTGTTTCCTCATACAGGGCTCGGTCAGCCAGGATAAACAATTAGAATTGTCCATGTAAGTCTCAAAGAACCGACAAGAAGTTAGAGTTTGGCACTGAATTGTATCACTGGGTCTCAGCTTTGTGGTCTCAGCTTTCAAAAGCAGAGGTGTCATTACTGAATTTATGGGGGTACTTTGGATGGCAATTTTCACTGTTGAAACATAAATTATTGAGAAGCCTGAAAGAATTAGCTCAGAAATAAACTGAATAAGTGCCTGCAACCAGCAACTCATAAAGAAAGGAGAGAGAGTGATGTTAGGTATAAATGCCTCATCTCCTGTTGTTGGTCCTGAAGGACCTGCTCAGGAGTTTCTGGGAAGTGATGCTGTTGCTCCAGAGGGAATGAGGCTCTTTCCCACACTTTCTTATGCCTCTGGATGTGTTCTTTGATTTCCAGATCTATTTTTCTTCAAGAGCCACATGAAATGTATTTATTGAAATCCTGATCTCCAGAGAGAGACACAGGAAACCATGCAAACCATCCTGTCAAAAAAAAGAGAGTAATTTAATAAGTTGCAACAGAGCAGGAAGTTCAACAACAACAATAACCAAAAAAGTGAGACACAACTATAAAATTCAGAGTGAAAACAAAGGAACCATGTGAAATACCTATTCCAGCACAGAAGAAGAAATAAAAAAAGAACAATCATAAAGGAGATATATTAAAAATGACCTTAAACATAATGTTGAATCTATACTGCTGCACTAGGTTGCCTGGGACCTGTGTTTTGAGACATCTACACATTAAGCTCCAGATATTGCCTTGGAAACCTGAGCTAGTGCTGTGTACTTGGACAACCATGTCCACGTCATTGCGCTTGAGGTACAGTGTGTGCTAGTGAGAAGGTGAGCATTTTCCTTTCCATGCACAGCTGAAGTTCTCAGTCCTTCTTTGCAACGGGGGAGACAGTCATAACTTAGTTACAGTGGTCTGCTTGAGCTGCAGGTTGCCAGTATCGTTAACAAGCTGGTTTCCCATAATAGTGTATATCCTGAATATGCAGCATATATTCAGAAGATATACACAGAATAGTGTAGTCCTGAAAGCGGCACTGAATTGAGAAACAGGGAACCTGCCTGCTCTACCCAGGGATGCCCTTGGCTAGTTACAGGAATATGGACACATTATGCCATCTTCTTAACAGGATATGTGCTATTATTGTGCTCTACATGAAACACACAGAGACATACCTAAATATGTGCATATATATGTATATATATATGCACACATATATGAATGCACAAAGAGTTATATCTTTGGTCTTCTTGATGCTTAATGTGAGTTGTTTGTATTAATAGAAAACCAAATTACATTGGACTAAAGTCGATTTTAATATTTATTTTAAATTTAGCAGATTTTATTTTAAATTTTAAATATTTATTTCAAATTTAGTAGCTTTCTTGAATAATACTCAGGAGACACCACATAGCTCCAAGACATGCCCTAGATATTGCAAATCTCAGCAGCCACCAGATCATGCCCTCCTGCAGCCTTTATCCACACTCCTAATGCCAGCTGGAAGTGACGCCATGCCATGCTCCAGCAAGGTGGCACTGAGGCCCATCTGCTTCTCCATGCTGGGGGCAGCAGGGAACAAAACTCAGTGACCTCCATTGCTCACTACTCCACAGGTTTTTCACCTAGAGTGAGCAGGTGAAAAAGTCCCAGGTAAAAGATCCCATTTCCAATGTCAGTTCCATAATAGGGGGAAAACTAATCAGTCATTTCACAGCTGGGGTGCACACATGCCATTGTGACTGACAGCAAATCCACTGTAGGCAGAGACGGGGGCCAGTGTTGAGAAAGTTGACGGCTCAGTGGGTAGTGACAAAATGCTAATTTTAACAGTTCATCCTTTTTTGATGCATTTGAAAAGCACACTGTGGGCAGAATCTCACTGGTGGGAGAGAGTTTTAATAAAGCCTGCAGCTTTGCAGCTCTCCCTCTCTGTGTTGCTGAGCAGGCTGGCGTACGTTTATTTCTGTGGGACAAGCACTTAAACCCAGGATATTGTATTGGAAACCTGAGCTGCCTTATACAGCAACTCTGTATAATGCTTTCCAGAAGAACGAAAAGGCAGCAACGGTGAGGCTGTACAAATAATATGATGAACACATGTGTATCTTTTTTCCTCTATGTTTATATCACAACATACACAAAGACATATAATCATGCTAAAGCACATTTTTAAGATTGTTATATCAATCAATCAAAATCTAGGAAATTCCAGAATGAAGGTTGCATATATGATCTTACATCTGTTGCTTTCGTGTCTTATGCAGCATGTACAGTATTAGGAAGCTCACATATTAATTTTCCCATATACCTATGCCTTATTAAGTGCATGGGGCAGATGAATCCCCTTACTGAGCAATTATTCACTGTTTTATCCCATCCTTGCTATTTAATATTAGGTTTCATACCTTATTTATTCCTCATCCCTATAAATCCTGCTGTGAGGATGAAGTTATTAACTACTTTATAGGCTTTTCTGTTGTACTTACCATTATGAAGCCTCAATGCTTCACAAACAATAATGGATATATCCTCCAACTAACTCTCTAGGATGATGGCATGAGTTACCACCGTTTTAAAGCTGCAAGTTGAAGCACAGAATGATTAGGATCAGGAGTATTCCTTAAGTTTAGACACTTATTTTTGAATATATGAGGTACCAGACTATTTAAGCCAGACTTTGCATGTTGTTATTGGAAGAACACTTGTTTCACTCTCAAAGTTGCTCTGTCTTGCACACTGTTGTTTCAAAAACCAGATGCTGTGGAAAAAAACAGATTGTGACCATGTACCCAAAGTTTGTACTACACTGTAGTTGTTGCCCAGATGACAACAGAGAATTCCTTACACTCCACTGCTTTTGGGTTAGGTTTGGTTTTGGTCCCCTTATTTGAAAGATGTAGAGGATGGACAGTGAGTACTTAGGTGATAGCTGTAGTGGATGGCCAGCTTAGGGTTTAGACCCAGAACCACTCATCCCATCTCTAGTTCAGTGACTTCAATCGGGGCTTTTTCCTTGTTTGAAACACCAGTCTCTCCCTTTGAGCTCCTCATGCCAGCTCTGTTTTTGCCCAGTCTACTCTTACTGCAGCCTATAAACATAGCTAAGAAAAAATACTTAAATAAGAAAACCACTGTTACAAGGCAGCATTGGCATGAGAACAAATGGTTACAAACTTCCCACAAAGACATTTAATCTGTAATTTAAAGGAAGATGCTTAAACATCAGAGAAATATGCAGTGGCCTTCTCCCCAGAGAATGGGTCAAGGTAGGTATTTTTAAAATGCAGATGCGTGAGATCCCAGATGGGCAAGTATATTTGTGGTGTTTGCGAGGGCTGGGTCCCTTTCACTCCTGTGAGCGCTCATCCCTTGTGTGATCCAAAGCAAGTTCCATTGTCTCATCAGGTCCCTTCTGTCTCAAGCAGGGTGAGGGCTGGTTAGTGTTGAGGTGCATGTAGCACAGCTGGGTGGCAATCAGCTTTCTTGGCTTGTATCTAGTATTCAGGGCTCTGAGCTCCTGGTGAGGAAGGCGAAAGGGGGAGAACTGTTCCCCCCCCCCCCCCCCCCCCCACTTGATCATTCAGCCACGGAAGATGGATGGACAGGGGCCCAAAGAGCTCTGCAGGTGTGAACACACCATGATGTGTATAGGGCCGGTGTTGCTTAAAGGATTTCAGTTGATAAAATCAAGGTCTACACCCCGTAGAGGTGATTTTTAAACTCACAAGGTGGACAGATTTGGGAACAATTTCACAACATGGGAGAAAACAGATATGTAGGGTGAAAGCAGTCTTATTCAACTTGTCAAATCTCTCCAAAGGTGACAGGATGCTTCAAGATGCTCAGAGCAAACCTCTTAAGAGTATTTTTTTGACAAATGCAAAGGAACCTGTCTTCCCAGTTGTTTTTCATTTTAAGTGCCTGAACTACAGCTATCTGCAATTTCTACAGCTGCAGAAACAAATACTGAAGAAACCTGATGCAAACGTCTGGCACGCATAAATAGAAGTT